CCACTGGCTCGGGTACGGCGGATTGACGACTACTAACAAACCGGAGAAAAAGCTACCCCAGTCTCTTTTGTCTCTATCGGCAACTAAGTGTTGGTTTAAGGGATTTATTTCACCCAAATGTATTTCACGGTTCTCTGTACCTCATGTGTAAGGCATTAGCTGTGCTCAAGACCTTGTTGTCGTGAGTTCGAAGCCCGACATCGACCGAGACCTAAACCCGAACGTGGCGACCACCGTTCGCGCGTTTGCGGACAGGTGGTAATGCGGCATGATGGCGAGATACGCAGACAGCGGACAAAAAACAACGGACACTGCGAACGCGATCAATGGACATTTTCGCCCCGACGCTACCGCCCACATGATGAGAAAAGCCTCTGTCCGCTCTTGTGACAAAAATCGCCAAAATCCACCGTGCAGCGTGGAGAGGCGAATGTATTTACAAAACCACGGCCATATGGCCCACCAACGTCTTACAGCAATAAAGTAATTATCGTTCTTCAAAACAGGGCATGCTGTGATTTATCAAATAACATAACGTTGTTAAGAAATACCAACTGTTTTAGAAAAACAGAAAATGCCAAAAAAGTGAAAATCGGGCGTACTACAAAAACTTAAGTTTTAAATGTACAGGAAGCCTGTTCATGCAAAAAAGAGCACAAGAAGAATTTCGTTGGGAACTAATCGTTTTGTAAGATTTTCGAATACATATGCTTCCATACTATGTGTAATGTAGCTTATGGTCATTACCAAATATCCCAAAGTTCGATCAAAGCGGTCTCACAATAATTTCTATTTGATTCTTTCGTTTATACATTGCATAAGTTACGTTGGACTAAGGCAACCACATTTTTGCTTGATAGCGTAGGAAATTCCTTGGATATCGAAAAACTGTGCATTGTGCCAAATTCTGCGTCCTTCAATATACCGATCTAAAATGAAATCTTTTCAACAGTATGTTGCGGCTCAAGTCAATTCAATGGATAAAGTAAACAAACTCAAATGTGTGTTGAACCGTCCCCGCAAACTTCGAGCTCCAAATTTAATCGGCTACACAATCTACTGTAAATGGTTCTGACATCTAACACGAAAACCTCTTCTTATAAAAAGCATCCTCATGACTTAAAAATTCCATTTTCAAAGGCGAACAGAAAAGCGCCATTCTGCTGTATCCCGAGAGCTAGTTTTTCTCTGGCGTGTAAGTTTAATACAGACGTCAACGGCTCGGGTTTTGAAAGCTGACTGCCCATTGACGAGATTACCTACCCCCTGAGTGATAGCGCCACACAAACTACCAGCATATGATGAACATCAAATATGCGGTAACCAGTGTAGGAAGCTTAAACAGCATGTTGACCTTGACGTACCCTATGATAGCTCGCGAAGGCGTTTGTGTACTCGGAGGAATGTAGCCACCTCTATTCACCCAATGAACCTTATCTGCATTTAGACCCATTTCGTTCTGTTAAACAATAATGAAAGATAGCTGCGGTTGAGCACACTATCTATTAATGAAACCGCCATCCTCTCTGCGCCCTACAGTTTGACATAAAACGCAAACCTTCAAATCAACATTCGCAAACGTGCGCACTGTTTGCGGAAACTACCCCGTCCCTCTCGCCCTCATAATTTATTCTGATATCAGCTGCTTGTCAACATGAATGCACACTGGTTTTTTTCAGAAGAGACTCAGAGGTGTCATGCGACAATAGTGACGGCCGTGAAACACGTGGCTGGACCTCTAGCCAACACCTGCATTAAAACATTGGTGGGATCACAGAAAATATACGTGAAGTGGAGAAGCCGACGTAAGCGATTTCCTATTTGGTGCAAGGTAGCAGTGGTTGCGGTAACACGCGAAATTAAACTAGAAAATTATAAGCCGCCAAAGTTGTGAAGCATTGACTCCTGGGGAGGAAAACAGACAGGTTAGTCTAGACTGGTCTAGTTCGAACGACTTAGCTGCCGGCTACCAGGCGGGTCCACTGGTTACGAATCGTGGAATCAGCCCTCACAGAGGACTATTTAGGAAGCCAACTCGTAATTTTAAAGAATCAACAGACACGGAAGAGTAATGCCAGCAATACCAACGCGCATGGATCTCAAGTAGTCTGTTCTACTACCACTATCGTTCTGACAGGGCTCTCATGAAATAAACTCCAGAAGAAGAAGACGCGATCGCTGGAACAAGAAGATTATAGGTCTGGAGTTTCGAGTTCTCGCTCAAACTCATCATCAAAGACAACCGCATAAAAGCGTGATAGAGGCACAAGCTACGCAGTATTTTCAGTCCGTAGTAGCCATGCGCGACTACATGCGCATTACAATCAGCAGCTCCGTGAACACCGGTGGGGTGTAGTGATCGATTCGATGATGGCCTGATAGTCCGCGCCCGAGCCGCGATTTCATCAACAGTATTTGACGTAAACGTAATACTTACGCGGCAGTTTGGCTTGCTGGTCCGTGCCCTCCCCACCTGACTGAGTACCCCACCCTTCCTGCTGCTACCCACTCTGAGTGATACCCCCTCCCCTAGAGAAGCTCCACGAGTCTTTACCGATGGCTCGGGAGTAGCCATGAATCGAATTAGGGTCCCGGAGTAAATAGTTAGAACAGCATCCTTGTTAGTTGACACCTCAACAGGAAGATATGGGCTGAAGCAGATATATATATATAGTCGACTCACCCACTTGTTAACAAAGGGGAAGAGGATTCCCAATGTAAAGACCGTGAAGATGGGGCCACCCACAGCACCGAAGATGCTGAAGGCCATAGTTAGTACACCCGAGGGCACATACTTCAGTAGAAAGGCTAGACCAATGATGATGAGGCCAAGCAGTACGGCTGTGGAGGAGGAGGGGCAAAAGACAGGACGAGTGAGATGACAGAATATACTTTTAACGCGTAAACAGAGACTGCATCTGCGATTCAGCCTCTACCACAGGCAGTAGATTCCATATCTCTTGAAAGGTCAACCTAAATTCAGGAATGTGATTTTGAATCGAACAAATTACCTAAGAAGGGTTTGAGGATTGATTACCATACAGTCTAGTCTCAAGATTGTTAGGGAGGTTTGGCAGATTGGCCTTATTCACTTAACACAATTGAGAACAATTCGCGGCCACAGTGGGGGTTGAACCCATACAGCAGGGAAGGCATTTTCGCAGCCAAAGCTGTACCATTGAACTAAGAGGCTCACCATGAGCCGCGAACTTAATCACACTTGAATCAATTTTACTAACCCAACTTACTGCTCGTATGGAATTCACCAGTACGGATAGAGTAAGCTGACTGCCCAGGCAGGGTTTCCTAAGCAATCACCTAGAATCAACCAGAATGACTAATAGGCTCATTTAATTGTTAGAGGGGTTTCATAAAGTTGCTTAATTCAACTGAACCAATTGTGAAACATTCGCGGTCTCGGTGAGAGTCGAGATATTTCAGTCATGTCAGGATGCCGGCTTTTGAACGAGCTTTTTTCTGGCCACCTACCAAAGCATACTCTGTAAAAAGTACTACTTATATAGCCTGCAGCTTTCCCTTTATTTATCAATGTCCCCTTCAACTATATTTTATAGAAAACATGAACATAAATATTCCTTTTTGTACGGATTTGGTAGCGTGTTACGTCTTCTTCAAATTTTTTACTCGAAGAAGGGGAACCGTTCGGTTTTATAAATAGAGTTACTAAATTGCCGAATAAGTTTTAACCCTACCGGCCGGTAGACTTTAATTCGAGGTTGCCATACTAAGTGCTCTATACATCCAGCCAAGGGAAAAGTACATAAGTTCTTATGGCGTGAGGAAAATGTCATATAGTTCTCATAAAATTTTACAATGTACATTGACCATCTTGTATACTTTATAGGCAAAATTAATCAATATACGGATGCGGTGTATTACGAATGACATTTCACTGTCGTAAAAAATCTCATAAATAGAAACTTCTTTAAGACTGAAAGGTCCCCCCGTCTTAGAGCACAAAATTTGAAGAGGACGTAGTATTTTACCAAACGAGTACAATAGGAATATCTTTGTCCATGTATTCTATAAAAGAAAATTCAAGTTATAAGGGCATGTATAATTGATAAGTGAAGATGTATACTCCATAAGCAATCATTTCTGCCGAGTATGCTTTTGCAGGTGGTCAAAAAGAGACTTATTCAAAAGGCGGCATCTTGACACGAATGAAGTATCTTGAGATCAGGCTGTACGGTAATCAATATTACAAATCCACTTAAGTATTCTTTTAAAATCGAAAACACACTTCAGAATTTCGGTTGAGTTTTCACAAGATAGAGGATCGACTGTAGTTCTACCGCGTAAACAGAGATTACTTGCTTGCAATTCTGCATCATTAGTATGCAGGGCACCAGCCTCTTTTTTGTTCCTCCTCAATGAATGGAAAATATTTCGGCTCTGAGGCGCGACTGAAGGCGTAATCACGCCACAAATGCCCTCGTCTGTGTGACAAGTGAACGTGATCTTGGCTGATGACAGCACTGCATTTGTCAGTCTACTGCGGAATGCAATCCTCGCCCCCCCCGCAGCTGCAAGTTGCCCGCAATTAAGGCGATTTCATTTTCTGTCAGACGGTTCGTAAAAGTACTTACTAGGAGTATATGCCGCCTAGCGCCTTAGGCAAGATCAGGTTAGTATGCAGTCTTCCATCTCAACAGCGTGTTTTCGGGTTGACGTGCTGATGATGCGCGCGTCGACCTGACAGACGCCGCCTAACAGCCGGGTCGCCTCCCTCCCCCCCCCGCTTTAGGCTGTAAGGTTAATGTCAATTGACTGATAACAGCAGACTCTGGTTCGACTCTATGACAGACAGTGAGGGCGCGCGCTCGTATCTGCGACTGGTTTGAAGTTCAGTTAACGTGCAGAGCAACAAAACTGTAAAGAGGGCAGCAGCAAGGCGCGTGAAAAAAGAAAACTGGAAAAAAAATAGCCACCTTGAGAAGTGCATTAAAGAAGGCACCCCTACTACTAAGACATTCATGCGACCATTCCGCGCGCCCACCTAATAGACGAGCAAAGAGAGTGAAGTTCTTCTGCTTCATCTTCTTTCCATGGTTGAATTGGAGGTAGGCATCCAGGAAGACATCCTCCACCAGTACGCAAGCAATACCGTTGATACCCGAAGAGAGAGTACTAGATTAGTAAAGCAAGCCAAAGGAGGGAATTATAAACCAAAGCACAAGAGGCACTGGAAAAATTGAAAGTTTAAGAAGAAAGATTTAGAAGAACATATGCGGAAACCCGCAGTATAGCGACCGAAACCCTTAAATGCACTTT